CGTTTCCAAGGAAAAAATAGGTTGCTATGGTGATAAAATTAAAGAGAGTTCCACACATTTTCTATCTAATTTGGTAAAGTAGTATTCAAACTGAATAACTACAGTGCTCACTATGCTGTACACATTTGCACAAGTTGAAAATATGCATATTTTAATATATTTTAACAAAAAATCGGCAAATTTGTTCGAACTGCAATCTTAACTAAAGTGAAGCTTAAACCAAGTTATTTCAATGTTACATATGAATATTTCGGAAAAAGGTTTGATTTTATTCATAATCAGGCTCTGAATTATAGTGATTTAGCTGATTTTTTAAAGGTTTTACATTGTACTAACTACCAAAAAATAAAGTGTCCGTTACCATGGCAACCACTCATATTTTCCAACTCAATTATGATTTTTTATCAGTATTCAATTACTGATTCTACCAGGCAATTTATAGATCCCTCATATATCACATGTACATCATACTCTGCTTGGTTTTTATAAAGAGCTGTACTTAAATATCTATCATTATTAAAAGAGATATCTGCTTAGTTATCCTTAAATATCTACCATTATTAAAAGAGATCTCTGCTTGATTATCCTTAAATAACTACCATTATTAAAAGAGATCTCTGCTTGGTTATCCTTAGATATTTACCATTATTAAAATAGATCTCTGCTTTGTTATCCTTATATATCTACCATTATTAAATGAGATCTCTGCTTGGTTATCCTTAAATATCTACCATTATTATATGAGATCTCTGCTTGGTTATCTTTAAATATCTACCATTATTAAAAGAGACCTCTGCTTGGTTATCCTTTAAGTTAGATATTTTTTATTTAGATTGCCTCTTACTTTCAGTAACTGCGAACCTTCTTTGATATGATTTATATATTGTTTTGATCGTATTTATATATTTGTTATCTGGCATACTGTTATTGTACATAGTTTTAAGACAGACAGATAGATACCATAAACATACTAATGTATATGTTCCGGACCATATGAGTATTAATTTTGTACCATACGCGTATGGTCATGACCATATGTGTATATACTCATATTGTCCGTATTGTCCGGGTTATTAGACATTTTCGAAAACTGTTTAAAACTTTTATATTTACATTGATGATGACATTTACAGATTATTATATAGGGGCCATCTCAAAGTGGACAATGTTGATGAATTGAAAAGCTAATACCGCATTCATAAGATTTATTTCATATGAAATCAACTAAACAAGTCTCGACGCCTGCATACAAAAGCAGCACAACTCTATAATTCTTCAATTTTTTTCTCAACAGTAACTCTTCGATGAAATTATTAATTTTTCGACACCTCTCTTTAAATTGTCCGGTTTTCACAGTATTAGTTGTTGTTTATAGCTAGGGTGCCACAAAAGAATATATACTGTGAAAGTATTTTTATTCGTGGGTATCAATTTTCGTGGTTTCAGCAAAAGTTACATGTTCGTCGGTTCTTAAATTCGTGGATTTTAGTTTTCTGAAAAAAAAATCGAGTGACGAATTTGAAGACTTCAGAATCGAATATTTGTGATATTAGTCATATGTTGTTTTATAATGATTTGTGGTGCATTGTCAAATAAGGTGTTCATTTTCACTCACTTGTTCGTCCTTCATTAATAACAAATGCATAATATTTTGAATTGTAGAATCAATTATTATGACATAAAAAAGCAAGCCCAAAATGAAATCAGTATTTTTTTTTCGTATGAGAATTATGAATAAAGGAACATTTAATTATCGCATATCATCACCGGATATCTGATGCCTCGTTCACACGTACATTTAATTCGAATTGAATTCGAATCGAATGCGAATCGAATTCGCTAATCGCGTTCACACACTCTTTTTTTTTTAATTCGAATTGATTCGAATTGGCTAAATCGCATTATCCAATTCGCATTAGAAATGCGTTTTTGTTAATACGAATTCAAAGTTAACGTCGTTAGGACAGTAAAGCGAATTTGACGCGCATTGCAATTCGAATTAGAATTTACGTTTGGACGTTAAACGTTTCGAATGCGAATTAAACTAATTCGAATTAGTTAATGCGAATCGAATTCGAATTACGTGTGAACGCAGCATAAGTTAAGGGGAATAATTCAAAATTTATTCATAAACAAAACAAAAATAGGTGCCAATAGATACTGTCTGTAAGGTGGTAATTCTCTTGTTATGCTATTCAATAGAATTATAACTGATTAAGTACAGATACTACTAGAATAGTATACACAAAAAAAAGTTAGAAACACATCATTCTTTTTACTTAAACGTAATAGTTATAAACTGAGGGATAGGTGTGTCTAAATAAGGCGTCGGGGGTTTCTTATCCAGACACACAGTATCTCGAAGCATAAATAAAATTGAAGAAAAGAATACTGGTTGAGAGTTGTCTCTTTGGCAATCATACCATATCTTCTTATATTTATATTATCTAAAAGTATATAAAACCCTGTTCTTATAGACATTAACATTATCAGAGTACCTTACTGTTTAAGCTGTAGCAGTAAAGTCATTGTTAACAGCTTGAGTGCCATAACTTTATTATCTTGTGTTGAAAAAATAAAAATAAACAAAGGAAAGAATATTTGGTCATTTAAAACTTCAACAAATGGGGGGTGGACAGGGGTAGGGGGACATGGGAATGAGGGGCATAAAGCAGGAGTCAGAGTGATGGGAACCGGAGGAAGAAAGGGAATAAAAAGAGGGATATTCTGGGAAATACATTTTGACTGATTTTCATCTGGGAGTAAGGGAAAGGGAAGTGAGAGTAGGGGGTAGGGAATAAGAAATCATTGACCCCCTTGTCCGCCCCTGCAAATGTACAATTATGATAAAAAAAAAAACCGTTCCAATTGTCCGTAATTTGTAAAATAGGTATGCATGTACCTTACCAGTCAATAAAGTGGCGTCTTTTTACTACAACGTCTTCAATTTGTCACTTACCTTCCTTGTCAGATTTGTTCCTGTTTTTTACGAATTTCAAATTTAACAAATTGTCATAAAATAATAAAAATCAGTACAAATACATAACGTCTACTGAGAGGAAGAAAATTTAATTTTCAGGGCCGGGGAGGATGTGGAAAATTAATATCCTGGCTTATCCGCGGAAAAAAAATATAAGCATGCGTAGTAACAGATGAATTTCGCAAAAAAAAAAACATCCTCCCCCTACCCCCTGAATATCAAATCATCGTTCTATAGTTTGTTGAAACTCGCACAAGATAATGTTCAATATTAAAGGAACAGTTGACGAGAATTGCTGGATGACTTGACTCTAGTATCACATGGTCAGTTGAATAAAACTTAAACTTTCTATAAAATGAAATGAGTAGTGAATTGAGCTTTTACTTTAATGTCTATAGTACGGCAATTTTGGATCTAAACTATAAATTAAAGTAAGACTGGAAAGATTAACCCATGTCATTTCTCATAGACAAAAAGAAATACAATTTCCAACCCTTCATTAACAGAACATGTGAAACTGGAGGGCTTCTTTTGGAAAACGTTGAATTTTCAAGGTGTTTTTTTTTACATTTCTTTGCATAAATAATTATTTATGTCCGCTTTGACAGTTTGATATTGTACTAATTTGTCACTTACCCCCTCCCCAACATTCCCCAGTGCAATTAAGGTCAACCCAGTTTTCTGTGGGGTTCGTAGTAAAAGAATTTAGAGAGAGGCAAAAGATACCATAGGGACATTCAAACTCATAAGTCAAAAATAAACTGACAACGCCAAGGCAAAAAAAAAAACGACCAAAAGATTGACATGAATGCACAAAACACAACATAGAAAACTAAAGACAGAGTTACACAAACCTCATCAAAAGCCGAAGTTGATCTCATGTGCTAAGGAAAGGAAGCCGATCCTGCTAGTAATTTATTGATTTATAAAAATAAGAAATTGTGGTATGATTGCCAATGAAACAACTCTCCACCACAGACCAAATGACATAAATTATAACAGCTATAGGTTACAGTATGGCCTTCAACAAGGAGCAAAACCCATACTGTATAGTAAGCTATAAACGGCCCCAAAATGACAAATGTAAAAACAATTCCAACAAGACAACTAACGGCCTGATTTATGTACAAAACAAATATGATATACAGCAACAAACAACAATCACTGAATTACAGGCTCCTGACTGAGGACAGGCAGAATGATGAAGGGGTTTAACACTCTTACTGGTACAAACCCTCCCCTAAACCTGGGACAGTGGTGTAGCAGTACGACATAAGAACTATTTATAAAAATCAGTTTGATAAGTTTTACATGTTCTCTTGATATCTTCCGCTTATTTTTTGCAAAGATGTAAATTGTTAGATATTGAATTTGTAAAATCATATTTAAAATTCTTGGCTAATATCCTGCAATTAAAAAAGTTTGATTTTAAAACTGGCGTGTTTAGCTTTTTCACGAATGGAAACGAGACTGAGGTTCCGTAATCTAAATATTTCTGTAGCATTCGATGGATACGTTAATCTGTCAGTATCATATGCTTAATAATATCAGTGAGACCCAACTTCATTATATATTAAAAAGTTCAATTCATAGTGGTTAAATTAAAAGTATATCTACCTGGCAGTCCAAAAAATATGCGTGGTATACTATGAATTTTGAGGGAAATTATTACGATGAATGAATAAAAAACTGTTTAAAAATTTAAGACGACTACGATCGAAAAATTAATCACTGACAGATAATATTATTTTCTAATTATAACAGCCGATAAAAGTATATAAAAATGTAGGGAAATGACCTAAATTCTAGACAAAAAGCTATGAACTCTAGATAAGTTAAACGCTTAATATGTACAGTTCAAAAAGTAGGTGTATTCCACATTTATATACTTTTTTGTGAACCTTTAAATCTACTCGATCATACTAGAATGAAAATAATATACTTTTGAATGTGTGTGGGCACGATGATTGTATACATTTATATATCTTCTATCATCTTGGGGGCAAATCATGGCTAAATATGGAATGAAAAATACGTGTATCTTTAGTGCTTGTTCGATATATTATAGATCATATAACGTTCACACAACCCAGTGTTAGTAAAATCGTCATCCCATTCCAAGTAAGTCCTTTAATATAATTATTTCATGTTGAAGGTAATACCAATATGGCTGTAACATCTGAGAAATAATCATAAGACTTAAAAATTATTTATAATTAAAGATAATATGGAAAGCATATGTTATACTGCAATAACCTTAAACCACAGACTAATATATAATATATATTTTACATTGTATATAATATGTATCTCTGCATAGGCTTATCTGTCCGCTCGTAAGTGAATTATTATTCAGCTTCTCCATGGTTTTAAAAAATGATTTATGTTTGGTATAAACTTCATATCTGTTAGACAGTCACCTCCTGTTTACGTTGTTTAGATGATGATTTGTTGGCAATTATAAAGTACATAGCTGTGTTAAGAAATGAATGGTGAACAGATATATCATTTTATGGAGGGGTATTTGCGAAAATACCAGTCAAAGGACGGTGAAATTTCCCAAGCCGCTAGGCCGAACAGATTTTGATTGAAACTGTCTGTACATGTGAAGAGAAATCGTAGTACCGCGGGAATTATACATGTACTTATATGCATTAGTGTTGTCTTTTTGTAACGTCATGGTATCTATATGTGTAAACGTCATTGTTATTCCATCATTAAAACGTTCATTTGTTTAGACATTTTTCCCCTCTTTATATGTATATTTCTGACAGTTTTCGGTTTAACTCAATCAATAGTGCTTAACCATGTTGTCGGGATAAATTGAGAAAGGTTCCGATTAATTTTGGCGGGAACAGACTCGCGAGGGTAAAAAAGGAATATCCAAAATGGCAAATACCACGGCAGAGAGGGGAATTTGAGGCAAATACACCGGCAGTGGTGAAAAAACAGGCAAACTCGTTTGAAATGAGGAAAAAAATGTTCGAATATGCGAAAAATACACTGGTTAACAACCAATCAAAATCCGGCATTATTATATAAGGTGCAATTATTATTTATAGTCCAAACCAAAGGTGTCAGTCCACCAGTTAAAGATCCCTATCTATTCAACCAAATTTGGTAATTTTCACAGCGTTTTTAATATTTAAATTTACCTTTAGTTTAACTTCGTAGAAAGCAGGTATATCCTTAATTGTACATGTATCACCTTTCTACATGACAATTTTCACCCCATGTTTAAAGTATTCTACGAAAGAACTGCCTTTCGGAAGACAAGTACTACTAAACATAACCCCTGGTTTCTGGAAATCTTAAATTAGTATACTGTGGAGCGCATTAATAATCATTTTTTATGCAAACTCATAGACAATTAAATTTTGGCTCAAAATGGTCTAAATATATTTCTCTTTCACCAAAAGTTTAGTTAGAGTAAACAATGACATCAAAAGCACTATATTGTGTCAGAGTAGGGCTACTTTTGCATACGTTCTAAATTGTAGAAAGTGAATTAGTGGTCTGACACCTTAATGATATTTAGTTGTACCCTACGATTTTCAGATCTGCAGAGCAATTACTTTCTGTTTGATGATACTTTGAATTTTGAAATTTTTCGTTACAGTCTTATCATTCATTATTATGAAACGGGTGTATACCCATTTGCTTTGCATGGGTCGGACTCTGGATGTATATGGACGAAACAACAAATCAGATTTGTAATGTTATTATCTCATGTTACCCCTTGTGGGCCCTTTAATTTTGAATAAAATATATTCTTTTCTATTCTATTCTATAACTATAATTATACATGAAATCGCAATTACATGACTGTACAATGGCTTTCGAGACGTGAAAGTCACGGTGCCAATTCGGCCATACTTGTTTCGGCCACATTATTTTATAATTATGTTAACAATTATCTATGCATAAAAATGTTTCAAAAGAAGTGTGTTCTGAAAAGGATTTCTGGTTTAACAATAATACATTTAATCATAATGTGTACATTTGCTATGAAGCACGAGGACACTACTTTCTTCCGTTACACTTGGTTCAGACCATAGTAGCGTTTCCATTTGACTTCAGTGCTTAATTTATATTTATCTAATAACAAAAAATGAAAAATAAACCTTTTGTCATTGGTGGACTTGTTTGTAAAAACCGAATCAATTACCTTAATAGTTGTTCCAAAACAAATATAAGTAAAAGAGAGAGGGACACTAACGGCTGCACTGTATTTTGTGTACTGTACCCTTATTTCACTTAATAAAGCTTTACCTCATATCATGGATTTTGTTCTGTATTGAAGGCTATATGATAACATTGTCAAGTAAATGTGAACATTTATTCACGTCGTTTTACTTATGTGAATAGTTTATATGTACCTATTGTATTTATTTGGTTTTTTTTTTTGTTCTCGTCCTGACTGGACATTAAGCAACCAACAATAAATTAATCAATATTATTATAATAAAAAAAATGTATCGCCGTTTTGCATTCATTTATTTTACATGATGCTCATTTTCAAAAAAATCTTTTGATAAAAAAAAATGAAATCCCCGATATTGAAATTTTCTGTATGTTATCTCAATGTCGTATTTGTTTTAACATGAACCAATTGAAATGAAAATTGATTAAATAATTTTTTTTGATAAACTTTGAGTACTTTTCGACAAATCAAATATTGATTCCAAACATGAATAGAAATATATTAGAAGTATAAAGGTAATTATTACTTCAGAAATAAACTAATTCAATTTTTAAAAATGTATGAAAATTTTGATCAATGACAATATATACATAGTACTGAATAACATCAAAATGTTATCATTGTTTAAAAAAAAACAATAGTGGAATATCTTGATAAGATATATATTGTTTTTACTGTTTAATATAAATAAAAAATCTACCATGTTACGTTAAAATTTCCAAATTTGACTCGCCGAGTTAAGTTAAACAAATACAGAAAAAGCAGATCCCTAATGTTTTATTTCATTTTCGTTTTTTTTTTTACGGTTGTATTTTTGCTTTTGATTTTCAAGAATTTGAAATAACCTTTGTATAGTTTGATTGAATACTATACCTTTATACACATACATTGTGTATATCTGAAACATTAAATATAGGTATAACGAATTGGGGGAAAACAAAACCTATAAATAGTTATCGTGAAAACTTTAGTCTTTCATATATAATGTATACTTCATTTCCTTTTCCTGATCAAGATGCTGAAACGAAAACATAATAATGGACAACACATGGGTAAAGTTAACGCTTAGGAATAAGATATACTTGTAGTTATGAAAATTATTGTAGTCATATATATATTATTCATATAGCATACATATGTCGATGCTGTAATGTGTAACATATATAGCAAGGCTGAACTATATTAGTCTAACTACTTCTGTATGGGCTATATTTCAAATTATCATAAACTGGATATGACTATAATACACATATGCACCAGCAAATGTTTCAGTTAATATTTTACTTTTTAATATGGCTATATAACTTATTCTTTTTCTACATATCGTCAATCTGTAACATATATCGTTATATGCACCATGGCTGTTTGAATTGTTTAAGATTCTTAAACATTGAGAAATTCTGATGAAGAACCGCAATAAAAATACTGTTGGTGTTTTTAATGAGCGCATGTTCTTTTGATGTTTTAATGTAATAATTTACTTTAAAGTGTGTTGATGAAAAACCATGGTCTACTATCTTCAATTTGATGTTGTACCATACTTTGATAACTAAGCACGAATCCATCTAGAATCTTAAAATAAAGTAGGCGAAGCTTAGCTCTGGCTATGGTACAACAAGTTTATCTTGATGTTATTCCATGGCTGAAGCTTCATCTCATCCTTCTTAAATATATTCGCCTCTCGAGTATTCAGGAAACTAAACAAAGATTAAATGTGCGAGAAAAAAAAACATAAGCGTTGTCTTAAGGTGTTTGGTAATAATTAGTGTGATCGCTTCTCAAGAATTTTAATAAATATGATTTTAAATGAGAACCATTACCAAACCCTAAAAAAAATAAGGATTAAAAACAACATATCAATATAAACATAAATGTAGTTTTGTTTTTTCTTTATTTCATGTTCACTTAAAGGCCTGCTAAATAACGAAGTTTTTGTACAAAAAGCTAAAAGGTAAAATGGAATGAACAACCTGCAAAATAAAAGTATTTGTACAATATCTTGAAAATTATAAATAAAACAAAACTTACCGTCATTAGAATAATAAGAATAATGTTTAATATCCTTGTCAGATTCTGATTTAGAGGGGGCAAGGGGCCCTAGACCCCCTTTATGAATAATGGTTAATGCAAAGACTTTTTACATGTTCCACTCCTAATGTTGCCTTATTAGCCTCCTCCTTTTTCCAAAATCTTGAATTCGCATCTGCTTGTTACAATCTGCACGTGTGTCAGTGCACCATTGTAAGTCAAATACAATACTGACTTGCACGAGCAACCAACTGGTTGAAAATGCTTGTTCATCCCTCTTTTGTACTCTCTACTTGCCTTCTTCAAGAAGTTTTATTTAGGCTTTAGCTGACTTTTTGAATACCCACATTTTCTTTTGGCTCTGTGAAATCTTTCTTTAAGATGCACATTGTGTATTATACCAAGGTTTGTTATTAAATTTCCTATATATAGAATTTTTTCATGTCATACCAAATATGTAAGCAGATGATTTCTTAAACATATCACACAAATTATTCACAACTGTATCAATTTCAGACAATAATATATTTGGTTTTAAGAGCAACTCATCCAACGTGGTTACTATATTTCTAATATTAGTTTCTGCATTTACTCTTACGTGTTCTATGTTAGTTTTATTTTCGATATTCAAAGATTTAATTCTCAATACTTCTATTTACTGCTGAATGTAAATGTATGCCACACATGTACATCTATATGAGGGTCTGTGTGAGGTTTACAGGATAGAGCATACGGGTCGTATACTACACAAAAATGGACGAATAAAATAATGAAGTGCTAAAATATAGAGAATAGAGAATAAAATTATTATGGTCAAAATTTATGAAGAATAGAGAAAAAGTGTTTACAACAGTAAAAGGATACAGAATTGACAAATTAAAAGGATACAGAATTGACAAATTAAAAGGATACAGAATTGACAAATTAAAAGGATACAGAATTGACAAATTAAAAGGATACAGAATTGACATTAAAGGGAAACAGAATTGAAAGAAATTAAAAGGATATTTTTAGGAATTGAAGGACCGCCCACCCAGGACCTCCAGATCCTATATGTCATAAAATTTTATAAAAACCAAATTCCGATCGTGATTTCAATTATTTCAAATCACGATACAAGATGAATTCTTTTCCGGCACATGCCAAATAGATTTTAAAACAATAATTTTGGAAATATTAATTACATGTGGTGATTATTAATTAGAGACTTTACGGAAAATATTTACCAATAAATTCCCCTTTCATAGTATTAACATTTAAAATAAACTTTAGGTGACCAATAATTGCTCCACTTATTTGGACTGGTGAATAGTTTTCTCATTGACAACCATACAACATCTACTTATTTTTATATTGGATTGTCACCCCTTGACAACAAGGAAGTAACATAGAATTTTTAAACAGATCCATTACAATGCATTTAGTAGACCTTAAACAACCAATAACAACGCTTAGCGCTTATTTTAAACCCGCTCAAATCATTTTAAAACGGAATTTTGTCATAGCAAGGTCAGTTTTATTTTTCATATACAAAGAAGATGCAACTATGTGCTAAACTTGTCTTTAACATTTATTTTTATCAGAAATAGTTTAAAAAAGGAAGATGAAAATATTTCAGTTATGGATTAATGGGGATGGGCAGAGGGTGGCTAGCGTGGAGGGCTTACTCCCATTTTGATTGTAAACTATATATATTTTTAACCATACAATCATCCAAAAGCATTTGTTTTCTTCATCGCGGGTAATACTGTTTTATAGAAGCTTAGTACAGGGGCGGATCCAGCCATTTTCAAAGGGTACGTGGTGGGGGGTGTTATAACTACATATGTCCCCATTGAAATGCATTCATCGTCCAAAAAAAATGGATACAACACCCCCCCCCCCCCCCCCCCCCCCGCCTTTGGATCCGCCACTGAAGTACGCCCAACTATCAAAAATCCTTGATATTATATACCCCAGCCTGTGTTTTTATTCTTTATTGGTGTGAACTAACTCTTTAACATTTCTACATCAACTTAAATTAGTTCAAATACCTTTTACTTTGACTTCAGTTCATACATGGTTTTTTTAGAATAATTGTTTACATATATTTTTTCCGTATTTTGGGGGTATGGTATGTTTAAAAGTAACTAATATGTAACATGTATAAGGAATAAAGTAGGTCAGCTGCTGACTGTGTCACATATAGATATTGATATAATTAATCAGCTATCAATATGGTTCGAATTGGCTTTCCGGTCACACTGATATGGCTTTGCTCCTTTTTAAAGATCGTGCGGTGATGCTTATACACCGATTTCTACAGGTCTCTGGTGGATAATAGCCTCACTGGTATTGATCATACAATATCTTTGAATGTTTGAATCTATAGACTTTAAAGTTTATCCATGTTCACATAGTGGCTTCATTTTCTCTTCGTAAATTGATGAGAAAAGAAGGGCCCTTATTGACGACAAAGCAGTGTTTTAATAGATATAAGAAGATGTGGTATGGGCACCAATGAGACAACTCTTCATCGAAGTTACAATGTATAAAAAGTTTACCATTATAGGTCTACATGGAGCCTTTGATCACACCGAACAGTAAGCTATAAAGGACCCCAATAGAACCACCGGTCTAATCTATAAAAAAAACGAGAAACACTTAAGAACTACATCAACAAACGACAACAACTACAGTCAGATATGGTGTATGCCAGATACAATGACAAAAACCATATACATGTGCACATGTATCACTTTATTTAAAACGTCCCATATCACAACATAACACATATAAGCATTCGGCAATACAATTAAATCCAGGATTTCGAAAAAAAGGGGGGAGGGGTGGCTGACAATTCAACGTTTCGGATTATAACTAGTATAAAATCTATGGATTTGTCATAAAAGAAACTACTTAAGGGTGACTGGCCACCTGTCAACCCCCCCCCCCCCCCCCCCTTTAAATCCGCCTTCGAGACCGTTACTGTGTCGGATGTATTATATTAATACACAGTCACCGGTTCGGTCTGACAAATACATTTAATTCAATAGATACTTATTTTGTCATTCAACATAACTTGAAGCTTAACATGTTTTTATTTTATTTTGGCAAAGATTAATATTTGTTTCCTTTTCATTGTTAAGTATAATGTTATAATGACGATTGTGAAAAGGTTTGTTTTGTTGTAGAACGAATGTGACAAGACTATATACGGGAAAAATAATATGTTTGTATTGTACTCTCAACAATGAAAGTTTATTTCTCACGAATCGTGAGTACACAGAAGGAGGAAGCGAACAATGAATTCAAGGCGAACGCAGATTTAACACAAAATTCTTCATAACGCGCTCTTTCATCATACATGTAGTTCTATAAAGCATTATTCAGAAATCAAAAAGATCAGTAACAAAATTTCATAGTAGTATTTATTGATTGTTAGTAATTTCTATCATTCAGGAGAAGCAAAAATCATTACACGTATATAGGAGAACCTGAATATTTCAAATCGAAAATGCCAATCAAATAATCAATCAATCAATTAATCAATCAACCCGTCATAAGTATGTTACAAAAGCCTATCTACCAGAGTTCTCCATTTCTGCCACCGAACGAAAGCCTAATATGTCAAAATAGTACAAAACAACCCTTAAATGATGTTATGGAGTATGAAGGTCCAAGATTGTCAACTTTTGCAACATTCCCAGATATCCCTGGTATTTATGCAACAAAACTTGCAAGAGCTGGATTCTATTATCTAGGAAAAGTTGATGAGGTTGTTTGCTTTAAATGCAAAATTACACATAAAAACTGGAAACGACATGATTCTCCATCAGAAATTCACAAGCAAATTTCGCCACTTTGTGATTTTATCAAACAAACTAAATTCATGGAATATTCCCAAAATATTACAGAAGACGCTGTTAGCAGTGGTGCACATTATAGTCCGACCGAAGGAACTGCATGCACACATTTGGTATGCGACAAAACTAAACAGCCGATTAAAAGCACTGTTGCTCAACAGAGCTTAAATGTGCATACTAATGGAATTGAGAATACTGACACAATGAATCAAAATTCAAACAACTTCAAATACGAAATTTCGCATACTCATGGTGTAGGGATACAAAGTAGTCCTTGTGGAATAAATCAAAGTTTAATGAACAACACGAATACTGATATAAAAAGAACAGAAGCTTACAAAATTGCTAATCATAGTTACTCGACTAATAATACTGACAGCTTGATTAGAATTTCACAAACAAATATATCGAATACGAATTGCAGTACTAGCGCATCAAACAGTCGGACATTGAGTCAAACAACTCCTAACGATAGCACGATAGCTAGTAAAGCTCCACTGGAACCGAGTGCGATGGGGATTTGCATTGATAACCCAAAGTATCCAAAATATGCAACCAAAATATCTAGACTAGACTCTTTCAAACATTGGCCAACATATTTGACACATTCTCCAGATGAAATGGTTTCAGCAGGATTCTTTTTTACAGGTATATAAATCATTATTTATCAAAAACAAGTAAGAGGTCTGTTAATCAAATTTCTATTGAAGTCAACTTTAAAATAGCAAGTAAGATATGACCAAATGTCATCCTTTATATCACACAATTCAAATTAAAAAAAATCGCCATGTTAACTTGTAACTGACTGATTATCATTGACCGAACTAAAATGCATGTACAGGATTTTATACAAACCTAAAAATAAATAGATGAAAAAAGTATTAACTGTCCACCCGGTTTGCCTTGTTTAAAAAACATTGGCGTTTTCTTTTAAGCACATTTAAAGAAGCAATGTCTCAACTCTAAAAGTTTTAAAAAAATGTATAAAAATGAACACTATTTTTTTTTATCATCATGATCATGTAACACGTGTATAATTTTGGTCTATGTTTGAGATGAACAGTTATATACGTAATTTAAGTTTATAACAGTAACTGTAGTGTTGTAAAACATGTTATAAAAATAAGCATTTCTATTTATCTCAACATTTTACATCATTGATTGTCTTATATTAAAGGTACCGGGGATCACTGTCGCTGCTTTTTCTGTGGCGGTGGCTTAAGAAACTGGGAACCAGGTGACCAGCCTTGGATAGAACATGCACGCTGGTACCAGAACTGTGCTTTTGTTAAAAATTGTAAAGGCGAAAGATTTATACGAGATGTTCAAACAAACAACTTGCAAACTGAAATAGTCGAAACGGTAAGTTAAAGAGAATGCTTTGTTATAAATACATACAAATGTGAAAAAAGTGCAGTACTTTACAAGCTTAAGTTATGTCTGCACATTACAATTACACCCTCTTTTAATGTGTTACTTCACTTGGTTTTGAATATATTTATGCATCTTCTGAATGAAATCAAAATAACAAATATAAATTCATACTAGTGTTTGAAATTATAGAGCGGATCATACTGAAAAGAAGAAGAAATTAATTTTGTTCTAATCTACGGTGTCATTCATGATCAGTAGCCAGTGTTACAGTATTGGCACGATTCATGTGATACATATATATATACAATGTAGCAGAATTTTCAATTTGTTGGGGGAGGCTATTACCCCGACAGAAACAGAGACAGAAAGAGAAATATTGTGTTTGTAAATTTCAAATTCATAAATTAAGTATGTAATATGCTAAAACTAAGGTTCTATAAGTTGACTAGTATAATGACAGAAATGGATTGATAATTTAGTCTTAGATGCATGATTTTTTTGTATTAGTTGTTAGTGGCTTTGAACTAGCTGTCAGTAACTGCGAGTACTCTCAGATCTGAACTTAGTGTCTTTTTGTTGTTTGGATGTCCAAGTACCCGGCCACGTCCACTTGTATTTGTAGTATTTGTATTTTTATCCATCTGATGAGTTAAGCCTCTTTCAACTGATTTTTATAGTTCGTTCTTATGTTGTACTGTTACACCACTGTCCAAGGTTAGAAGAGGTTGGGATCCCGCTAACATGTTAACCCCGCCACATTCTGTATGTATGTGCCTGTCCCAAGTCAGGAGCCTGTAATTCAGTGGTTGTCGTTTGTTTCTGTGTTACATATTTGTTATTCGTTCATTTTTGTACATAAAGTAGGCTGTTAGTTTTCTCGTTTGAATTATTTTACATTGTCATTTCGGGGCCTCTTATAGCTGACTGTGCGGTATAGGCTTTGCTCATTGTTGAAGGCCGTACGGTGACCTAAAGTTGTTTATTTCTGTGTCATTTGGTCTCTTGTGGAGAGTTGTCTCATTGGCAATCATACCACTTCTTCTTTTTTATATTGGCAGCTCTATTTATTTTTAAGGCACCTAATACTAACATTATTATTTTTTTTTTTGGGGGGGGGGGGATGCATGTTTATTATTACAAATTGTTTGATTCTAAATTTCTTGAAACAAAATATTTCTGAAGGAAAGTGAAACAATGATGTGTGTCTAGAGACAAACACATCATGCCACCTATTTAAAGACGAATGGTCGCTGTATAAATATCACAGGCACTTGTTTCTGAAAAAAGTTACCTATACTTTAATTTTTGTTCAGAGACAAGTGCCTGTGATAAATATATCTGGTTATATGAAATCGTACATTTAAATATTTTGTCTTTTCAAGATAGTGTTCACGTGTGTACGTGACAAAGGTTATTCCAAAAATACGTGTTGCAGAAATAATTTTACTATAATATTTTACATGACCTAAAGAAAAAATTTTAAGCTATCTGGCGAACATCGTACAAATCGTATTACTGACGGTCTCAATTTCACACAAGAAGTTTTAGTGTCACGAGTATATTTTTTTTTCAGTTTGCATCGATATGTTGTATGGTCTTTTAATGTGAATTATTTCAATCATAATAGTTTAATAAATCATTAATTGATCAAAATTGTAAATTACAGAATGAGCTACCGAACACTATAACGCCACTAGATGACTTTAGAAACATTCCTGCAGTAAGATCTGTATCTCAGTTTGGATACGACGAAAAGTTAGTCAAAGAAGCCTACGATACTCTTAAGAAAGCTGAAACAGCAGGTATAGTTTATACTTAAGATGAAAAGTAAACTAGATAAGAGTGAGACATATGTATTAGATACATCTTGAGGGCGTTAACCCGAATAGGTGTATCTAATTATACCAAGATATTATTGTCAATGCAGAATGATAGTTTTCAATAATTTATCAGGGGAGGGAAGGGTGCATTCATCTATTTGATTATATGTTATTGAAAGGCATGATCAGGGAAAGGGAGGGTGCATTTAGCTATTTGATTATATGTTATTGACAGGCATGATCAGGGGAGGGGAGGGTGCATTCAGCTATTTGATTATATGTTATTGAAAGGCATGATCAGGGGAGGGGAGGGTGCATTCAGCTATTTGATTATATGTTACTGAAAGGCATGATCAGGGGAGGGGAGGGTGCATTCAGCTATTTGATTATATGTTATTGAAAGGCATGATCAGGGGAGGGGAGGGTGCATTCAGCCATTTGATTATATGTTATTGAAAGGCATGATCAGGGGAGGGGAGGGTGCATTCAGCTATTTGATTATATGTTATTGAAAGACATGATAAATGCACGGTATCCAATTTCATTTAATGACATCTTGGGGTAAATAAGTATGTAATGCTTTCCAACAGGCTGAACTTAAACCTCTAGCGCCGGACTATATCTCTAGCGCTTGACTTAACATTTCAAATGCTTTACTTGATATCTACAGCGCTTTTTGTAAGCCAGAATATTCATCACGTTGAATGTGGGCAGTATTTGGAAGAAGAAGTCTACAGCGCTTGACTTGATATCTACACCACTTCATTGTGCACCGTCAGTTGTTTCTTATATGAAATCATTTTGGTATTTTCGCTAGTGAGATAGTATCTAGATTATTTGTTTTATTCCAAATTTATCACCAGATTTTTTTTTATTTTCATATCACCTGATTGTTGAGTCAAATATGATCTTGTATGTATTGTTCTTTATTGTAATGTAAAGTTCCTAACTCTGATGTATTTGTACAAAGTCTAAAGTCACAGACGAAACTGCGGCTCTTTTCACAAAAAATCGTAAGAGTAAAAATAGTCGCAAGTCATTCACATTTCAGTATAACTTAGGATCAATTTTAATCGTAAGTTTTTTTAGTGAAAAGAGTCGCAGGAAATTACTGAATTCGTGGTGGTATGACAAACGTCATGTTGAACTTTATATTTTGAGTCATTTGGTTATTAATTCTTGGGAATGAAGTCCAGGCTTTAATGGACAAGGTACGATAAGCCCCGTTTTGGCCCCCCTATTATTTTTATTTTTCAAATTTTGTTTTGGAAAGCTACTTTTTATGTTGAAATATTCCCTTAGGTTTGAAGTTTGTTTGGATGAACTTCAAAACCATTAATTTCAGCAAATGGGTGAGGTGAGGAGGGTGAAAGGGCATCAAAAACGCCAAAAGTAGGAAAAATTACGATTTTTGACCTGTGTTTCTTAAAATTTAATAGCCTGCGCCTACGTGACCCGGAGAAAATTATGGCGATCTAGACAGCAAAAACAGTGATAATGACATTGTAATAAAAAAAAATCCTGGGTCACGTTGGCTCAGGCACTTAAAAACTAAAAACTCGTTGTACGAAACACCTTCAAAGTGAATAAAAATTACAATATCTGAATGATAACGGAAAGTTTACCCCCCTCACCTCACCCAGTTGCTGAAATTAATGGTTTTGAAGTTCATCTAAACAAACTTCAAACCTCAGGGAATATTTTAACATGATAAGTAGCTTTCCAAAACAAAATTTGAAAAATGAGAAAATAGGGGGGCCAAAACGGGGGCTTATCGTACCTTGTCCTTTACACATGGAATTAAAATTTAATTCCTTCGTTAGAGTGTCTTCACGGGTGTCATTCGGTTTATCGAGAAGAATGATCGTGAAAGAATACCTAACGGTGTCAAGTATTGCGATTGGATAGTAAAAGCTCTGGTATAGGATGGTGAATGAAATCTTATCGAGATTCAAATGGTTCTTAAAGTTAATTTGTGTGAGCATAACCAGAAATTTTGCAGAAAATTAAATATTTACAACATATTGATTTTTCGGATCGTGAAAGATTGCGTACCGCTGTTTGAAGATCGTGAAAAGGATCGTGAAAGATCTGATGCTACGAAAACGTTCAAATCATTATTTAATTATAAGATAATTATTTTTTTAATTGGTATAGTAAATACTAAATTTGCATGACTCACTCCGGTTCTCTTTTTGTTGGATATTGGGGCTATAATCGTTTTATGCCATCGGATCTAATTATCTTAATTTGTATAATACCACACCGACCAGGTACCTTAAAGCAAAAACACTCTATTTGTCCGTTCTTCATAAGTTTTGATTTCTAATACAAATTTAAGATTAAAAATAGAACTTAAACGGCTAAATAACAGTTTAAGTTGGGCATCATGCACAATCGAGGTACGTTGATTGGTAAATTCGCCCACTAAGTTGGGTACAATAAGGTATAGCTATAGTGATCAGACTGATCAAACAATCAAGTAAGATAATGTTATCTTGGTACCTTTTGGTTTATGTCAGCGCAGCCACAAAATAAACAATAGATTAGCCAATATTGTCATACTACAATGTGTGTACGCATGAACGACATTCCATATAAGAAAGTAGCAACCCTTACACATAAAACAAACGAAAGTGTGTACACAAAAAAAGTCATGCATATATTTTAAGGGCGGATGCATTAAGCATTATAGATACATATATACTTTTACTTTACGAACATTTACGCTCCTGGAGGTCCTTTTATCTTGTATATCTACTTATATAATATAGACTCGTTTTTTTAGTTATTTTAATAACTTTTAAGAAAAATATTGAAATAAAACAAAGTGAAAAAAAATTAAAGCATTAATGTTCGTTCTTATTGAAATAATTATGCGCTTCAACTAGTTGCAAGTATATCAATTGGTAAAAGAAATATTGTTTTCTAATTATTAATCCTGGTCCGGCGGGGGACGTTTACGTGAATTAAAAAAAAATAAAGTTTCGGTCTTCACAAATTGAAACAAATATAAAAAAAGAAGATGTGGTGTGATTACATATTTATCCATATATTTCAATCATCCAAAACATAACTGTCTTACAACATAAAAACATATATAAAATACAAACTCAAAAGCCTAATTGACATGCAGAAAAATGAACCAATCAAAATATCTTTTTGTCAAGTAGTATAAATTCGCGTTTTATCGAAAGCGGGGATTACGGATTACAACATGTATCGTATACAAGAGATCGAATGACACAGAAATTAACAGCTTTAGGTCACCGTACGGCCTTCAACAATGAACAAAGCCCATACTGCATAGTCAGCTATAAAAGGCCCCGAAATGAAAAATGTAAAACAATTCAAACGAGAATACTAACGGCCTAATTAATGTACAAAAAATGAACGAAAAACAAATATGTAACACAGCAACAAACGACAACCACTGAATTACAGGCTCCTGACTTGGGACAGGTACATACATACATACATAATGTGGCGGGGTTAAATGCTAATTTTATTTCATTGTTTCACTTTTGTTGATGATTGAAACAAACAAAATCATATTCTATTTTTTTTCATATCTCGCAGCTAGTGCCGCTTTAATAAAAATGCTAATTGAATTCGGTCAAATTTTAATTGTTCCATCGATGAAAAGTTCGTTTTCTCTATCGTCTACCTAGAAACGTTTACTATATCTTTTTTTATAATATGACAGTTATGTCTAGTTTACCCGAATATTTTTTTTTCTGATTTTGTCATTTATTCGGAAAAACTTTCAAAGAAAACATTTACATCTTTCCATGACTTTGGTAAATTTTCTAAGATTACAGGTACACTGTTATAGGTAAAAAGTGCAAATGTCTTGTCAATTTTGTACAGGTGTATCTAAGTTTAAATCGCAAATGTCCTTTAGTGGTACAGGTAAAAAGGCGTAAACGCCCAGCGCAAGTCTGGTCACACCTTATCTTTCACGATCAAGAAAATGCGTTTCCCGATCTTTCACGATCAATTTTGATGAAAAATCAACAAAATTCAATGTTTTCAAAATCAAAATGAACGGTTTCAAGGGGGAAAAAACTTTTATTTTATTGTACTATCTGACACACCAAAGATTCAGTTTCAAATATATAATTATATATTAGAATGTGACCATTGTAGGTACAAAATGTGTGTTTTTTTTAAATGAATCCATAGACTTGTGTTGCATCTTTTTTTGTTTTCTCATAAATTACTGCATATTTTCTTTATATTATTACACAGTATTATTGAGAAAGTTGAATTATTTTGACAGACACATATTTTTTTTCCACCTTTGTTTTTTTGAAAATACAGCAGATTTTTCACAAATTTTGAAGTAAAATACAATTAATTTTATTCAAGATGCGATCGCAATGCTTGACCTCCATTAGGTATTCTTTCACGATCATTTTTCTCGATATACCGAATGACAGCCGTGGTTTTCTCATTCAATTCTCAGCTGTTGTTCTACAATTGCACGTCAACAGTTATGTTTAATTGTTTATTCACCACTAAAATGAGGTTCATATCAGAAATATGACCAAACGTCTTTGTCGAATACACATAATTTTTCATCTTTTAAATAGTATTTAAAATGTTGCATAAGTTCTTGACCAAAATCTAAAAAGCACAGTACCATTTGCGACTTTTGGTAGATCTGTGGCACATATATTTATGTTAAGGTATTAACATGTAAAGTATTATGAATATGATTGCAGTCTCAATAGAAATCTTTAACGACCTACTCATACATTGTGTTTTTAGATATCACAAGTACCGCACTTCTTGAAACTATTTTCAATTTAGAGGTAAAATCGACGCAAACCCAGGAAAATTCAAATAAAACCAAACCTGGAATGGAAGAGTCGCAATCAGCAATCGGACCTGCAGCTACAACACAAGTAAATAACGAACCTGCACGTGATCCTGGGCTTGAATGTAGGTATTTTTAATTCAAATCGTATTATTGTTGATATTATATATTTAATTATCAAAGAAAATAGTGTATTGATACTTGTCTGTAATTGAAGACCGTATATTTACCTCTAAGACTTTAATTGTGCTGTATACTAAATTTATGTCTCATTGTTTTTACCCCGAGGGCGACCTTTAAGCCAATGCATGCTAAATCTTAAACCGGTAGCAAAAACAAATTTATATGTTGCACTTTACTGATATTTACGTCCCTCTTAAAATATTACATTGGTCCGAAAATAAGAATGTGGCTTACCTTCGAATAAGACTTTGGAGTAAGAATTATAGTTAGTTTTCGAGTTAAACTTCCAGTGCATATTCATTTTATATAAGTTTCGAAGTAAAGACCAAGTTTGAGATAAATGTCAGCTAGTGTTCGAGTTGCAGTTCGACCTACAGTTGTTTCATATCGACTTGTATACTTATTGATTAGCTTTTAAACAAGTAACGTGTTTATAATTATTGATCGATATTTAAGACGTATTGCTGTCTAAAAATTTCTAGTGCATAAAAATCCAACTCGGAATTTCACCAAATTTTGACTTAGTATTCGCACAAACCTATATGTTCAACACTTGGCATTTTTCAAACTAACTCTTTTTAAAACATTAACCAAAAATCGACTATCAACTCTAATTCAACTCCAACTGCATTTATTTGTACACATCCTTGTCTTTCAAATATTCGGCAATGAGCGTTCCCGATGAAGGTAAATCCAGAAAATCGTTCGGAGGTATCGAGTGTTGTTTTATTTTTTACAACGCAGGGTCGATACCACTGCTGGTAGACTATCAGTCCCTGATGGTATCACCAGCTCTATAGTCAGCAATTCGTCACTGACATGATTAATTATATATTTATAACAAACCTATCAGGAATTATTAAAAAAATAAAAATTTCAACTCCCTCAGGCAAAGATAACCTTAGATGGATTTGGCTATTATTTGAGGTCCTTTTTAGTCGTGTAGCTCTTCATCTGTATGACCAGGTTATTGGTCACCTCTGTCATATCATTTAGTTTCGGGGGGAAACTAGCGGTATCTTAGATAAAGTCCAAGTCGCTGGAAAGTTTACATATTTATTTCGCATCCATATATTTCAATCATCCAAAACATAACTGTCTTACAACATAAAAACATATATAAAATACAAATTCAAAAGCCTAATTGACATGCAGAAAAATGAACCAATCAAAATATCTTTTTATCAAGTAGTATAAATTCGCGTTTTATCGAAAGCGGGGATTACGGATTACAACATGTATCGTATAAGTTTGTCAACAATGATTTTCGGCAGTTATCACTTAGTGTCCATTAATCTATATTCTTTGTTACAAAATCTTTTATCATAAAGACGGATATGAATCTTTGATAATTAATTTAAATGAAAGGATAATAGTTAAGTGTAAAATACAAGTAACTTTTGAATAGTGTAACATACAATGAACTATTAAATTATTAAAAACCAATGACGACTCGGAATGATAATAAAAATCATGAATTATAAAAGTATACAAAATCCTAAAAGTGAACTTTGAACGAACAATTTTCGGGTCATATTACCCCGTCGCTCGCTATCTGATACTCCCGTTTCAGCATGTATAAATTATCAACGAATAATATTTCGAAATGCATAAAGGAAAAATATAAACGAACGATTATATGTACATCTTATTTACAAGCGCGCTATTACGAACATTTGTCGTCTAATTTTTCTCTCTCTCGAAATTTCTTAAAAGTACATGTAATTGAACCAAGTGTGTCTAAATACCAACACAACTATTTCACGAAGCAATATGTATAAAACGAACAATTTGTCTATATGCAGGTATGTAATATTTGCCACCAAGCAAATAACGAATGAACACTGTCTTTCTCACAGAAATGTGATATTCGAATCTATAATATAGAAATATAAAAAAAATCATTAAAACATTGTCATAGCATAAAATCATTGTTCTGTCAAATAAATCTGTTTTCATCACAGCTCTATTTCCACCTGGAATGAATATCAAGAATATCACGGAGATTCTCTCCAATTTGAACTCTGTTACTACATATTTTAAATTTCAGGAACATTTGACCAAACTATCTCTGTATCACTATATAGATATTTATGTACACATCTTTGTCCTTTCACATTGGATACATCTATTTGAATGTGACCATTTATCAAAATGTCGCTTATACTCGATATCTATTTCAACAAAAACGCAAAGTGTAGATCATTTCTATACTTGAAAAGGCATTGTATGGAACATTGTTGATAATATTGATTTTAAAGTTAAAAATATATATTTGGAAGTAAATAAAATCTCAACATACTGATCTAAAATATTATGATAACTTGGTTAAGGATATAAAATGCTGGTAAAAAAACATGAATTATAAAAATATACAAAGTGAACTTTGAACGAACAATTTTCGAGTCATATTTGTTTCGGTTCTTATACACCCTTAGTTTTCAAATATTCTACTTCGAGCGTTCCTGACGAAGACAAATCCAGATAAACGCTTCGGACGCATGACATTTATAAAGTGTTGTTTTCATTTTTTAACCCGATGGTTGGTCACACTCCTAACATAATGATTACCATCACTGTTTTGTATCAGATTCTAGTTGTTTACGGCGTCAAATAGATATAGGAAGATGTGGTATGAGTGCCAATGAGACAACTCTCCATCCAAGTTACAATTTATAAAAGTAAACCATTATAGGTCAAGGTACGGCCTTCAACACGGAGCCTTGGCTCACACCGAACAGCAAGCTATAAAGGGCCCCAAAACTGAATTACTAGTGTAAAACCATTCAAACGGAAAAACCAACGGTCTAATCTATATAAAAACGAGAAACGAGAAACACGTATAAACTACATAAACAGACGACAACTACTGTAATCAGGTTCCTGACTAAGGAAGTTTACTGAATGCTTCGTTATAAAACGTAATGCATATGCATATACATAACATCGAATCATTTTTACTTTCAGTGTCGGTTAGAAGTCTCGAAGAAGAAAATCAAAACCTGAAAGATCAGCAGACTTGTAAAATATGCTTAGATGAACCAATTGCAATAGTTTTTCTACCCTGTGGCCATTTAGCTGCCTGTATCACCTGTGCGCCTGCGCTTAGAAGATGTCCAATATGTAGAACTTTTATCAAAGGGACAGTAAAAGCTATAATGTGCTGATGTATTTAAAATGTATAAAATTAATAAAAAAAAATATAAAACAAATTTTGAAATATTTATAGTGAGCATGCTAAGTAATATAGTTTTACATAGCAAAATCAGGAGGAAATAAGTTTTTAATAAAAACATGCAAATTCCTTATCATGCTCAAAATAGACCTATGAGTTGATACGCACATGTAGACAGAGGCGGATTTAGTAGGAGCAGGGTGCTTGGGTCCCCTCATAAGGCTAAATTTGTGTTAATGCAGACTTTTTACCTGTTCTAGTCCAAACTTTGTTTAATTTGCAGGGCCCCTTTTTCAAAATCCTGGATCCGCATCTGGTGGTTCCCCTGTTCATAGACAATGTGATTGAATAGGTTAAATTTGTTTGAACTCGAATTTTACGGATTGACTAATATCTTCGTGACATACATGTGAGCTTTAAAATGATATATGTTTTTCAAAACGATTCACAACGTAAACAGAACCAAGCCCGAAAAATGACGAATGTTAGATGCAGTTATTAATGTCTTTTCAATAACGTTATTGCCGTTTGTTTCCTAGTTTAATCGATTGTTGAGCTCTGTCAAATGTCATTTCTATCGAGTAGCATTACTTCTTTCCATTTTAATAGTGAAAAAAAAAAATTATTTCCATCAGCTGAAACAAATATCGAGACTATTGTAATATTACATGTAATATTTAGGAATAATTTCTTTTATCTCAAACAAAATTCAAAACGGAAGCTTATGTTCTAAATGATTCAAGACCAATGCAACATGAATGAATGAACTTAGAAAAAATCATTATATGTGTTTCCGATACAGTGCGTTTATCGTATTTTTATTTGGTATAGTGTAACTTAAATAGATTTAAATATACCGTTGAGATCAATTTGACGACAAATAAAATGAAAAAATAATGCATGTTTATCTTTGTTTACATTGACTTATCATAAACTTATTAATAACGTATTTCGAAAGAAAAGATTTGATTTTGCATATTACTAATTTCAAATTGTTTGATAACACTAATGGACCGTTTCCAACAGGATAGCCTACATCGAACGATCGAACGGGTATTAATTTTGATAGTCTCCAAAACAAAAATCGTATGATCTTAGGCTAGGTTATTTTCAGAATTTTTATCACAAAATAATAAGTAACGCCCTTTGCCTCTTATCAACTAGGATACATCATTCATAATATACATCAAAACATAATTCTCAATTATGTAATTTACAATAATTTAATTTTGGATGTAACGCGTCTTCTGATTGGCTGGCGTTGTATTGTTTATCAGCTCATAGACATAATTTTGTCATATGACCGTGACGTCATCAACGTTTTGTCATAAATTACTCCGGTTTAAAATGGAATTTAGAATTAAATTATAAGAAATGACTGTAATATCTTTTCTGTCTATTCGAAATAACATAAAAAATGTGTAGCGGGTTATTCAGTGTGCACCACATTTTTTATGTTATTTCTTCATAGACAGAAAAAATATTACAGTCATTCCTTAAGTATCGTTTCCTTTTTAGTTCTTTCGTTGACGATAGTATATATACAAACAATAGTGTTGTTCTGTTATGGAAAATTAACGTTTAGTTTCAACTATTGCATTTAAGTTTTGCATTTTATTGTTGGCAGTGAATCTGTATATTAATTTTCTTGGAGTTAAGGACATTTGCAGTTATTATTTCATTATTTTGTTGTACAAATGCCAGTTTTCAATGTACGGCCATTTCTGCAATAAACCTTAAGTACTAACAAAACATTTCTTCAGACGACAAGGATACATCACAATCCCACTGATCCATATTAATAAAGTAAGATTTTGATGAAAGATTTTTCAGGAATAAAACATTTCTTAAGACGACTATCTGCTACATGTATAACACCATATAAGAGTACGAGACAAACACTCGCATTAAGGATAATCGCTGTCTGTTTCAAAATCCCAAGCTTCTTAAAAGACTTTTATAAATTGATAGTGTATATAAATAACTTAGCTTAAATATCAGAAAAAAATGAAAGGTCCGTGTCCTTGTTCGGAAATATATATAAGCTATTGCAAATTCGCCGAGAAATAATTTTTTTTTAGATTTTTCATACATTTTAGATATTGTAACCTTTTTCTAGTAAAAACTGTAAAAAATTAAAAATTAAAATTAATAAAAACGGTCTTTACAAACCATTTGTAAGAATATTCAGAAGAGAAATAAGGGTTAGCAGGCAAACATTTTTGGCACTACATGAATAAAACCAGAGCATTCCGAATATCTATTTATTATACGCAGTTATAGATTATCACGTCCATAGCACTACCGCTTGAGGAATGGACCCCCCTTTTCCTTTTTTTTTTTTGCATTTTAATTTCTATGTTATAGTTATTGAACAAGCAAATATGATCTTAGGACATGTCTTAGTTCTAAGAGCGCTTCGATAAACAGGCCCCTGTACTTTGAACGTGTCATCTTCTGCTTAGTTTAGTTAATTTCAAAAATCGGCTTTCAACGTACATGTAGTTTGCAGTTATGAAAATGACTGTATTTATGATTTTCCGTCGTTCCCCTGAAGTGACGATTTATTATATCTTGACACATTGTGTAGACACCAGTCTAATGTTGAACACTACATGTTTCCCTGTAGATGTACTTATGTGGTTTTTGTCGTTTGATTGCTGTCTTATCTCACATATACAGTGTATGATATCTGAAAGTGTTGTTGAGTATGGATTAATTGTTTTTCTTTCCCTCAAGAAAATGTTCAGATGAATATTCATCTAAGAGAGATGTACTTAAAGTTATAGTGCAAAGTACACATCAATTTTTAATCTTCAACACACTGGCACTGTGCTGATTTTGAAGAAATGTGGCAACTATTAATACCAAGTCTGATTGATTTTCGACTTTCTAGTATACATGTATGTATTTTTCAGTTTTGGCACATAATTAGAAAAACCTCATTAAATTCGATCCCAAAATAGTCACAATAAAGGAATTAATAATAAAGAAGTCGTAATTAATTCCATTTAGCGCAAAACTATTTCAATTCAGATTTCAATTGTTTGGATATTCTAAAATGTTTCAAAAAATTGCCTTTGAAAAATCATGGATCCACCCCTAAACATATTAGCTATGCATTATTCATATTATAGTACAGTTAGAACAAAGAGATTTTGCCTATGTCTGTTAAGTTGTGCTGTAACACCACTGTCATAGGTTAGGGGTATTGCTGAGCGCTATATCAAACATGTTTAACCCTGCCACGTTCTTTATGGGTCTGTATCAAGTCAGGAGCCAATAGTGCAGTGGTTGTCATTGGTTAATTTCTGTCAAATTTTTTCTTCATAAATTCTTTTGTTATAAATAAGGATGTTGGTTTTCTCGTCTGAATTACCTCACATCTTTCATGTCGGTGCCTTTTATAGCCGACTATAAGATTTGGGTTTTTGTTGAAGGCCGACGAATGACTATTTGCTTACATCCACTTCGTTTGAACTCTGGTTGATAGTTGTCTTACTTGCAATGTTTCCACTAAATTGAGTACAAGCATGTACTTGTATATAATACTTTAAAAATTCCTATTTCGTCATTTACTTTATCACATTTTTTAAAACAATTTCCCGTACGACTAGTTGGCATAAAAGCCAATATACTGTAAAAGCTAGACCAGCATTTATAAAACTACTGCTATTATTTATAATTCGTTTGCTTTAAAATGGTTGAAGAGAGACTGTTAACACCGTGCCCCCCCCCCCCCCCGCCCCCCCCCCCCCCCCCCCCCCAACCAAAAAAAAAAAAAAAACAGAAGCAGAAAATACAGAAATACAGAGGCAACCAATCTCCCACAAAACACTACAAAGAAAACTGAATTTCGAGCAACGCGTAACCTATTACATAACAGACATGGAGTGAGGTGCTTCGGAATGGTATTTTAAGTAGTTCATGTCTCACCACAGCGCCTGTCATGTTGATCATGCCCGTTAAGTAAACATACATTGATAAGATACATTCGGTAATGTCAGAAACGAGGAAAAGATTACGGCGATGTGGCTTTTATAAATGAAACATATCCGTGACCTTCATTGACACTCATTTCCCATAAAGGTCCTTTATATCATGATAGCGTCTATAACATTCCCATTTAGAACCCTTGAGATCGTTGCAAGTAACAATTCTTCATTAAGGAAGTCAACTTTGATAAGAAACACAACCCCTATACAATCATATTTATGAATTCTAAATTTGGAATCTGATACATTTAAATTGTTGAAATATATTGGCGTTTTGCCGTCTCAAATGATTTTGTTAATTGTATTTTCTTTGATCAATTAATTAAATGGTTTTGATCATCTAACACTGGTGTCAACGTGATGATCGTAACTGCAATTACAATCATCCCAATATGGCGGTCAAACATTTAGGGAAATTTTATATGGCCGATTTCTCCGCTTTAACAGCTTGTATTTAGATATGTTTTATGTCAATAAAAATCTTTATAAGCATTGCCATTGAATGTATTTTTCTAAAATGATGGAAAAACAACCAGAAGAAGGAAAATCGCTATACAAAAAAAAACACGATGATGATCGTAACTTCGGCTATGGATGATCGTAACTCAGACTTGTTATTATATAAAGATGATCGTAACTCACAATTTACGATGTGTTTCTTCTTTAAATGAGCATTCTATTTAGAAGTCACGATATATTGATATAACTGAAAACAGTATGATTTTGAAACTGAACAAAATGAGCACTGCAATTTGTCAAAACGAAATGACATAAGGGGGAATTGACAGGCTTATTTGCAAATGTCATCAATATTTTTTTCTTATGAGTAATTTAGTTAAAATTCAAAATGGAATACGTTTGTATGAAGTAAATATACATTTCATCCTCATGATACAGTTTAAGATTGCAGGCCAAAACTTTCACTGAATATTTTAGAAATAAGTAATGTTAGGCATGAAGCTACATTATTTTGATGTGTTCACCTCGGTTTTAGCTTGTTGCCTGGTTTTGTATTTTCTTAATCAAACTATGACTATTAAACATTGGTAGACTACAGAGGCGGATTTAGATGGAGAGCCAGGGTCCCCGCCCTTGTGTGGGAAACACTTGGATGATTATATAGGGAATCACTAAAGCATGACTGGGGCGGGGCCCTCTTAGGCAGTCAGTGCCCTCTTAGGCAGTCAGTGCCCCCTCCTTTATGAACATTTCTGGATCCGCCAC